AAAAAAAAAAAAAAAACATAAAGCCACCGCTAATACTGACACTGCCACTGAAACCAAAGCAAGTGGCCATGAATTTCTCAACAGTTAACAATTTCACGGCAATTTTCCTTTGCATTTTGCTCTCCTCACTGTCAAATCCAGTTCGTTCGCTGTGCAAAAAACCACCAATCATATTCAATTTCGGCGATTCCAACTCGGACACTGGCGGACTCGTTGGCGGACTCGGTATACCCATTAAATTTCCGAATGGACGCGCTTTCTTCGGCAGATCATCGGGTCGACTGTGTGACGGCCGTCTCATTATTGATTTTCTCTGTACGTTCACATTTGTGATAAATTTTGCTTAGTTAAAACGTGAATTAAATGAAAAATATCTGTTAATTCTGTTTGATTTTGGTTAATGAAGGGTTTTGATTTGTGTTATTTTGGTAAAATTAGATTTGTTTGCATGCAGTTGGTAGGTGCTGATACTGATTAATTATGTATATCTCACTGGGTCCACATTATTAAATGTTCTCATGGGAATCTATCTTCATGATTTGGATACCAAAAATAATTCTATGAACCAATCTTATACAAAAAAATGTGGTCCGAGAGGAGTTCTGTATTAAATGTGACGTGTTTATCCATTTGTGCAGTTATAATGGTCAAAACAGTGCTTATAAGTTATTTTCCTTGTTTGTAGTAAAAAAAGTTTGTTACTTTGACGGTAACTTGTGATAGTTTGGTAAATTGTCAACACGTTTGGGATTGTGGTGTGAAAATGTTTGGAACCCAGCTGCAATTTTCCCTTTAATATATGCACGGCTTTATGATTATTAGCAGAAGATAGGAATTCACACCTCTAAGCATTATGCTCTATTGGAGCAGCTGAACTGAAGACACCAAGTCTTCTGCTGAACAGATTGGACATGATTCTGGGATATTGAAGTTTGAATTTCAAACACTTCACACTTCCACAAGTCTCTGTAATTAGTTACAGAAAATCTTTGTAATCAGTTAGGCATGTGTATTATTTAAACTGGAGTCGTATACAATTTAAGAAAATGAAATATACCTTCAATTCTATCCACTGTTAGTTTTTACATGGTATCAGACGCTTAATCGACCAACGCAAACCTTTCGTTGCTCCTCTCCAAATCACACAACAATGTCTACATCTCCCTAATCCTCTACCTCCGATGCTCAGGCAACCAACTCCCTGTTTTCAATCCCCCCTCCTCCATCAATGTCACCAAACTCAGCCGCCAAAACTGCCTAACCTGGAAGGCCACGATGCTTCCGTATCTGAAAGGCCAAAAGGTCTTTGGGTATGTCAATGGAACTCTAAAGTCGCCACCGAAGGAACTCATTGCTGCTGATGGAACAAAGTCTCCTAACCCTTTGTTCGAGAATTGGGAAAAGCAGGATAACTTGATCCTAAGCTGCCTCAACGCCTCACTCACTGATGAAGTCCTTGCGCAAGTTGCTCACTATGATAATTCTAATGCCCTGTGGATGGCCCTAGTTGCGGATCCAGGATTTTAAGTCAGCACAGGCAACCGTTGATCGCCGGTAGCAATAAAATATTAAGAGCCCATTTGATGCCTATGTTTTGCAAAAAAAAAAATGCATTTTAGAATATTGATTTGATGAAGAATATGTGTTTAAAAATAAGGAGAAGTTTTGAATTTGCGTATAATATTATTTTATTAAAAAATGTGGTTGAAAACGAGAGAGAGAATGTATTTTGAAAAAAAAATGGGAATCAAAACCTAAAATTTAAATATAACAATTATTTTGTTCAAACTAAATATATATAATTTTGTTATATGAGTTAACAATATTCACCAAGTGACATTGTAGTCAAGTTATAATTCAAAGGAATAGCGGGTTCAATTTTTTACAATTGCATTAACACCACTAAAACTTAGCATATATTATTCTGTTTGATTTTAGTGTCAAATTCATCAATTGCCATAATGGTAAATCTGTCAATAATCCTAAGAAAGGTCACATGTTCGAATCTCTTTAATTTTGGTAAAAATTGTAGAACTAAAACTATTATATAATAGATTGGTTGGAAGGAAACTCGAACCCAAGACCTATAGTATGAAAATGCAAGCTTTAACCAAATGAGCTATGAGAGATGTTTGAAAATAAAATGAATTATCGGCTATATATTCTAAATATTTATCTATTGTCAACCAAAAAAAAAAAATTGTTCCCAGCGGATCCAGAACGGGCGGCTGCGGGGCTAGCCGGTGCTGGATCCGCCCCTGGATGGCCCTTACCTCTGTCTTTGCTTCCCAATCTCGGGCTCAAGCATTCAGGTGAGATCTCAATTTACCAATACTCGCAAGACCACTCAATCCGCTAGCGAGTACTTCATGTAGATCAAACGCATGACTAATGCTCTTGCAATGGCTGGTCAAGACATGAAATGTGATGAGATCATCACTTATATTCTCACTGGCTTGGGGCCCGAGTATGACTCACTAGTCACCACAATCTCATCCCGAGAAGATCCTTTTTCCTTAGAGGAAGTATACTCCATGTTGCTCACCTGTGACGCTCGCATTCAACATCACTCCCACTCCATGCCTATAGCCAATGCTTCGGAAAATGTTGCCACAAAGCCACCAACTTTCTTTGGTTCGCGTGGCCGTGGCAATTCATCCAATCCACGAGGCAGGGGGCGTGATTCTGGCCAAGGTAATAACAATTACCATCCTACTTTCATTTCTAATTTGTAGTCACAAATATGTGATGGAGCAGGACACACGGCCTCAAGGTGCTACAAGCGCTATGATCCTCACTTTAACCCAACACCACCTAGACCAAATGCTCAAGCCAATTTCTTCACTACTCAAAATCAGCACCCAACTGATCAAGAGCGGCTTGCTAACACTGGAGCAACACACCTTCTAACAAACAATCTCGGCAACCTCAACATTCGTGGTGATGACTATGGAGGTACTGATCAATTCAAGTTGGGGATGGATCAGGTTTGAATATAACTCCAATTGTTACCGCTTCTTTAGCCACACCTTCCAAACCTTTTTATTCTTGACTAAATTCTTGTTGTTCCAAAAATCCAACTTAATTTATTACCCGTTCAAAAATTCACTCAAGATAATAATGTTTATTTTGAGTTTCATGACAATTTTTTTTTTTAATTAAGGAATACTCGGGGAACATCCTGCATAACTGTTATAACAAAGATGGCTTGTATCGCTTTTCGCAACATCTCCAACACACTGTTTGTTCTGCCTTTTTTGGTGTTCGAGTTTCCATTTCAAATTGGTATCATTGCCTAGGGCATGCATCTTTTGGCGCTGATAGCCTTGTGCTGAATGCAAATAAAATTCCTATAGGAGCATATAAACGACAACATGTTTGTCCTGAATGTGAGATGGTCAAAAGCCACAATTTACCTTTTTCCAATTTCGTTACTCATTCTACTCAGCCTTTAGAGCTGATTTATTCAGATGTATGGGGACGAAGTTCTGTCATTTCTAGTTAGGAATCTAGATGTTATTAAATTTATCTGGTTTTTTCCTTTGAAGCGAAAACCTGATGTTGAAACAATTTTTTTGCAATTTCAAAGTTACGTTGAGCGCCACTTTGATACAAAAATTAAAGCTATTCAATCTGATTGGGGTGGTGAATGTAGACGTTTAAATAATTATTTTCAAACATGTGGAATTTAACATTGGATTGCTTGCCCTTATACTCGTGAACAAATGGGAGTTGTTGAAAGACATCATCGTCAAATAGTGGAAATGGGACTAGCTTTATTAGCTCATTCTCATCTTCCAATTTTGGGAAGACGCCTTTCAAACTTCTACTTATGTTATAAACCGTTTGCCTACAAAAATCTTACAAAATAAATCTCCTTTTGAAAAGGCTTATATCAAAATTCCAAATTATAATTTCATATGTATTTTTGGATGTGCATGCTGGCCTAATCATATTCCTTATAACCGACATAAAATTTATTTTCGATCCAAAACCTGCATTTTTATTGGCTACAATCTCTCACATCTGCGCTACAAGTGTCTAGATTTATCAACAGGGAAATTTTTTTGGATCTCGGTACATTGTTTTTGATGAGTCATATTTTCCATACCAAACTCCCGATAACTCCAATGTCTCTCATCAAACAACTACCACATCACTCCCTCTCAATTTACATCCTACACAAACACACACTAACTCTTCCTGCAAAGGATACTTTATATTCGACTGGTCTACCCCAAAATGAATCTGATCAGGACTTATCAAGACAAGTTATGGAAAATGAGGCCACAGATGGCGTGTTTATTCCAGTGCTAGCAATTACTTGCGATATAGTTAGTGTTGTCAACCAACACTTTAATCCACCCATTGCCAATCCCCCAGACGAATGACAACTCGATCACAAACAAACAACCTGAAACCTAAAACTCCATTTGTGGGCTTTGTCAAATATCCACTGCCACAGATTTGTCTTGCCGAACATGGTTCAACACCATCCAAGCCATCCTCGTTCACCGAGGCCTCAAAACATGCTAGATGGCATGATGCTATGAACGTCAAATTCAATGCATTGATCAAGAATGGAACTTGGGAATTAGTTCCACCGAAGCCCAACATTAATCTTGTGGGGAACAATGCTCAAGTTCATGATCGAATAAATTCAACACTCTTTTATTTACAAAAGCCTGTTAGAACTGAATGTTCATAGTTGATGGGGTTACACAGACAAGATTTGTTAAAGCATATTAGTAAGGAAAAAAAAAAAAACTTTTCGCAAAATTATTCTAAATTCTAAAGGCAATATATCTAGCTCCAGTCAGTAAAAAATGTCCCTACATCACTTGTCTTCAATGTCTATGTATGCCTTCTACCGTCACAACTCACAACGCACCATGATGATACCTCTTTGTTAGCTATAGATACTTGTGATTGAACCATGCTAAGGGGATGTGATTGTCATCCTAGGCAAAATGTGATGTATATGAGTTTCATTGAAAATGGAGAGCAAGTGTATTTCTTTTGCTTTAATGCATCTTTAATTCCACTTTTTATTGGTTCAATTCCTCTTCTGCTTCTACCCATTTGAAAAAAAGCCACATTCTTTAGTATCTACCTTCTTAATTCCAACCTTGTGGTTATTTACAAGATTAGTGTTGCACGATTTTTGTTTTCAGTCATGATAAATAGATGACAATGAGTTCTAACCGCCAAAGAAATAGACTCGAATTGAGCAACCAAGAGGACTGCCCTGCAGTTAGAATTGAAGAGCATACACAATACAAAGAAGGGCAGCTATACATAATAAACTAAACCTTTGTGCTACATTGTTTATTCTAATATTGTGTTTGATTTTATGATACATGACAAAATGGAAAAAATTTACTATATAAGTTACTTTGTTTAATTAATTGATATTATCACAAGCCTCAGAGAAGATCTAAGAAAAATCTAAACTGGTTAGGCTCCAGTTCAACTTTTGTTTATTTATTCTCCCTTTTGGTTACTACCTTCTGGAAGACAGGTTTATAGACCAAACTTGCAAAATAATAAAAATATGCATTGATAGTGGAAACAGTCAGCTCTATTTGTAATCTATTTATATACTTTTAAGATACTGCATAATCATAAAGTAGTTGAGTAGAGAATGTCTAATTGTTTTTGCAGGTCAAAGCATAAACACGAGTTTTCTGAACGCATATTTGGACTCGTTAGGGTCCACTTTCTCAAATGGGGCAAACTTTGCCGTCGCGGGTTCTGCTACACTGCCTAAATATGTAGCTTTTTCATTGAACATTCAGGTGTTGCAGTTTCTTCATTTCAAGACTCGATCAGCTGAACTTGTCGCTGCAGGTGATATATCACATTTCTCCGTCACATTACAAGTCCATGATTTCTCAGCTGCTAAAATTTACCGTAGTTTTTTTCTTGGATTAGGAAGCTCCGAGTTGGGGGGTGTAGATTGTAAAGGAAGATAGACATTTAGTTCTCTCACAATTCCTTTTGTAGCATGCTAGCCCTGTTCTCCTAAGGTCAACGTCCCCCAAATCTTAATCTACATGCACAACAGAATAACACAGAAATGTGAATTAGGATTTCTTAGTCTTCTGCTTTCCCTATTTGGAAATTTAAAAAAGGCAGAGGCTCCAGATAAAGTGAAGAAGAGGAGTCAAGACTATCAGGAGAGAACAAATAATTGGTTTAAACCAAGAAAGAAACCAGAGACAACTCATGAAAAGCAGTTTTGGAAAACATCAAAGAATGCAAAAATTCCATGTTGTATTGTGTCTGTCCAATGTTTAGAGCCATGCGTCCTCAACACAGATCAAATTTATCCAGATTGGAAGAGAAACCTCAAATCTGAGCTGCCTGTGTCTCTAGATTTTCTGCTCTCTCTTTCTCCCTATGTTGTTTCTTCTGCCTGCCAAAATGACTGCTGACATTTTAATTGAGCCCACAACCTTTCATCTAATTGGGTTTGATCATCTGCTATTGGTTGAAATAGCTTGCATGGAGGGGGTTGTTCCCCTATCATGGAGCATGATTATTTGGCAACTCAATATTGCATGGACGACTCCCATTTTCTCACTATTCCCACCTGTTTAAGACTTCATTGGCAGTTGCTCTCTCACACTGTAGAATGAATTAATGAGGTTGAGTTGATGGTGGGAGTCTGTTGCAGGTGGTGTCCCTTTGTAGGTTGTTCAGGATGAGAGTTTGGTTGGACATATGATTCCCAAGCGTCTGATGGTTGAGAGTGTCCGTCTGATCATCCTAGAAAATAAGATCTAAACAATGTCAAGTCATGTCCAGGTGCCAGGTGGATCATGGCCACCTGATGGCTCCTCTGTCATTGCTACGGAGGTGTGAACTGTTTGACTTACCACGTTGTCTGGTTTTTTCGGCTGGTTGATTAAATGGAGTGGCAACTAATCTGCCCTTCTATCTGATTCCTTTCCACGTCAGCTCCTTTAGTTGACATGATCTGCAGGTGGACTTGTCCACAACGTAAGCTTTCTTTAAACCAGGATGCACAAACACACTATAGATGCTATAGGTAGATCTTGTCCAACACAACATGTGGGCATGCTGCTCTTTTACTTCTGTGAAAACAATTTGCATTGCGCTGAGTCAATGAGCACTATTTTCTGGCTTTATAAGAAAAAATTGGGGCTAAATTATTAAAAGTTTTGAAATGGCCATTAAAAATGAAAAAGACCGAATGGAAGTTAGGGGTGAATATTTATTGTTGCCGTAGCTGACACAGTATGTTGGAAAAATCAGGAATACATTCTGAAAGGAGAGAGATCTGATTTCTCTCATCGTCCATAAGAGTAAAGGAGAAGACATTATGTGGCCAGTGAGTGGGCGGGCAAGTTTTTTCTTTGTCCTTGCTAAAAAAAAAAAAGAGTTGACAGATGAGAGTAGACCATTTTATTTGATTCTTATTGGAAAAGAAGAGAGTGGATGAGAAAATGAGAATGATCGATTGGACAACCTACTAAATGAGTATTATATTAAGTTTACTGAAAACACTATAACATATGAAAATAATACTAATTTGATTGATGTTTTAGTGTGCCCATTTCATGTTACAGTTCGTAAATAAACTGGATCTGGATCGCCCTCTTTTTATTGCTATGAACTTAAACACCTCAAGCTTTTCAATGTTCTTTTTTTTTTCCTTAATGCTGTTGCTTTTGTTTTGTGCAAGTTTCAGTAGGTTTTTATTTCTTCATAATGTAGTTGGGGATTTTTCTCTCTGCTTAGAGGTTAATATACTAGCCTAGTGATTAGATACTGTGTCACGATTAAGGGTTCAGGCTTTCGATTGGTGATGCAAGCTTCAATGATGCTCTTTACATGATTGATATTGGACAAAATGACCTCGCTGATTCATTTGCTAAGAATCTATCGTACGTACAAGTGGTCAAGAAGATTCCCATCATATTGCAAGAAATCAAGATTGCTATTAAGGTCAGCTTAATCCTCTTTTTTTCTCTCTCTCAAGAGCGCATTGAAAATATCAATCCCACGCAGCTAAGAATATAAAAAAAAAAGAGGATGAATTTCTTTATCACTTATAAAAAAGTGAGTTCAAGGAATTTTCTAGATGTTCGAAATATTTTCTTTTAGCTTTCAGTTCCGTCCAATTAATACATTTTACATTCCTTTCTTCTTCTTTTTAGCAGAGAAACTATCATCTCTCTCAAATCAATAATCAACCAACAACCCACTCCCCACCTGACTGGGAAGAACTAATCAAATTATAAGGATTCCATGATTTGTGCTCTCTGTGTATGAGCCAATTCTCCATACACCCAAATTATGTACAAGGAAAACTTGACTGGCGAATGCTCATATCAACAATATAACGAAATACACACATAGAATGTTTGTCAAAAAAATGAACATTATTCTTGAATCAGTTATTACACTTGAGAATGACTGCTTTAAGGCTCAATCTTATACTTCCGTTATTTATTTCTCAATATTGAACTAAATTGTGCAAGTTCATTCACTTCTCATACAGTAGCATCAAACACGTTGAGTAATAAGATTTATGCTTAACATTTCTCATTTACGTGATAATACTTTTTATGATTTGTTGATAAAGAAGTTGCAAGGTCTCCAGCCTTAGTAATTATTGTTCCATTTTGCGTAGGAATTATATAATCAAGGAGGCAAGAAGTTCTGGGTCCATAATACTGGGCCATTTGGTTGTCTCCCTAAAAAACTTGCCCTAGTAAAACATACTTCAGAGGATCTCGATCCATTTGGGTGTATTTCAAGCTATAATATTATTGCAAAATTGTTCAATGGAGGCCTGGGCCAGTTATGCCAAGAATTAAGATCTGAATTAAAGGATGCAACTATCGTATATGTTGATATCTATGCCATCAAATATGATCTCATAGCCAACTCCAGCAAGTACGGTAAGTTTATCAGACTGTCTTTTCTTCTCTCTTTTTCTAAACCTTTTTCCAGGAAAAAATGAATAATGTTATTTATCATTATGATGATGAAATATCGGTGATGTGGTAGTCTATGTGCAGTTCAATTTTTATGAGAGAGAGAGAGAGAGAAATGTAAGAAATAATGTGTTGTCACATTACTGATATTTCATCATCATCATGATAAATAGCATTACTCGGAAAAAATTGAGTTGGTAAAGGTTCTATTCTATGCTGTCAAGTTTTGACTGTCATATTTTCATTTTTTTGCTGCCTCCAAAAAAATAAGGATTGGTATTGGATTGATATTTAACATATATGAGAAATCAACTCACTCTGCATCTGTTTGTTGACATGTTCTTACTGAATAACAATTTCATATCCAAAATTCAAATTAACATTTTAGTTTTTATTGCACAATTTTTTTTAAATAATATCTATTGTAGTAATATTTAGATTTGTCATTTGAGTTTACGTGTTATACTGAAATTATTGGTTCAAATGCCTTTCAAGATCAGTATACTTGTTTGATTGTTTGAGATACTTTCACTTTATGCACGTCAAATTCGCATAATTTTGGGTGCATTGATATTTGTTATTTTCAGTTGGCAGAGCATGTTTGGCTAAGATAAAAAAAAAAAAAGTCGCTTTTGAGATTCCGTATTCATTTCTTGCTCTGGTGTATAGTCCATAATTACGAATGTCCTATTGTTCAACTTCAGGTTTTTCAAATCCATTGATGGCATGTTGTGGTTCGGGGGGACCTCCATACAACTACGACTCTAGCATCTCATGTGGTGAGCCTGGGTGTCAAGTCTGCGACCAAAAATCGCAAATTATAAGTTGGGATGGTGTCCATTATACTGAAGCAGCTAACGCCATTGTAGCCTCGAAGATACTCTCCACCAACTATTCTAATCCACCGGTCACCTTTGATTTCTTTTGTAACTGATTCTCATTCAGAAGCAAAATTGCATGTGGTGATGGAACCTGGAAGTTATTCGAGAACTTGCTGTCTAATGTTCACAATACAGTATGAGTAAACGCCAGATATGAATTGTAGCCACCAAGTTGGTGGAGCTCATCCTGTTACCTGTCCTTGCTTCAGCCACCATCACTGTATTGTACTGGCTGAGGTATGATCATGGAAAATTTGTCCCTATTTGTAATTTCTGTTGTATCATTTTTAGGAGATTTGTTATTTGGACAGAGACCAGATTTGTTATTAGTTAATGACCTATTATCTTTGCAAGTAGCTAATTGTATTCACTCTTTGTTGTCGAGGACAATATATATAAACTTGGATCAATTAGGCTAAAAGGGTCATTAGTAAATATTTAAAATTATAGATAAAGCTACTTTGTCAAAAAGATTTGACAAAAAGTAATTGCATGTGACATTAGATGATTGGATGTAAAAGTTGATTGAGTTTTAAACCGTCTAATAATAGAATATCACGTAGCATTATATCAAATTTTATGCCAACCTTGATGTTCATGTAACATGATTGTAAAATTATTGCATTTTATTTTATAAATCTTAATGAACATTACTTTCAGGAAACATTGCAGTCGATGCCCTTAACTTTTACAAAAAGTAAATAGGGTCCGCATGCTCATGAGTCGGGCATGTGGATCAAGTCAGCCCAACACTGCTTGTCATGAAAGGTAGATTGCCATAGACTCGTTCAAAGTCATTTGATACCTTTCAAACTAATCTTTTTGGATGTTGGCATTACTATGATTCGAGTTGAGTCCAACACAACCTATCATCATATTTTTGAGACACATCCCGAGCCATCGAACACATCTATAATTTCTTTTGCATCTTGATCCTCAATATTACGAGTATGGAGCAACAATTTCGCATTGAACACTTGTCATTGAGAGCGCTATTGCTAAGCTCGAGTATGGAGCTTAATATTGCTGACAGACTCTTGTTTGCATAACTAATAAAATAATTACTTAATTTAATTTAATCTAATCATAATCCATCTTTAAATGATTTTATTATTCCTAAGTCTCGACTCTCGGAAAGGAACCATTTTTACTCGAGTGAATACGATATTATCATCAAGACTCGATCAATGTCAGGTGAGGGCTCGTGCAAATACTGGAAGATAACACATTATAGTTTGAATGATATTCAATATTGATGCATATCATAGATGACATTTCTGACCGAGAGCATTAAATACTACCGTGCAATCTTATATATTATAGCCTCTGTTTGGTTCAATTAAAAAAAGTCAACAATTAATTTTAACAACTCATTTGGGGATGAGAAGTGTTTTGTGTACATAAATTATGGTGTCTATAATTACACGTGGCACTGAATCGAATCATTAATTAAAATCTCACGCTTTCACGTCAACATGATTTTGTCCACGTCACATTGTAGACACTATTATGTACATGTCAGACTTTTCCTTGAAGAGTCATCAGAAATTACCTAGCCAAATCCAGAATTAAACTCCTTCATCCCCAAATCATCCAAAATCTCCTATATCTATATCACTAATTAATTGAAATTTTCGCAATTCACATTTCATCTCAAATCAGTCGTGAACCCTAGGTCTGTTCCCCAAATCAATTTCTGCAATTGACAAATGGAAAGTTTTTCATCCTCATCGCAGAATTTCCCTGAAGGAATCCGTCATTGTGGCTAGATGTCTGTAACGAATTTGTCGTGGATCGAAAACAATCCAGGAATATGGTTTTGGGGATTTACGTATTAAGATCGACCAGAAGCTTGCAACTACTTTGCTTGGGTGGACCTACCTCCTTATCCACGGTACAAGACTGTAATTTATGAGCTAATTCGCAAGGCGAACAACAATCAGCAGCAAGAACTGAAGATGCGCAAAATGCTCAATGTACATCAAATTGGATTTTGGGTCCTGATGATTTGCCTTGATGCTGGGTTCCTGGTACTTTAGCCGGTTCGGGTTAGGATGAAATTAAAGAACAATTGTGGCTGTTTTGTAGTTGGTAGGTTGTTGATGTTGTAGGGATGCATGTGTTTTGTGTTGGATAAAATAACAGTAAAGTACTGAAAAACTTATCAACAGATCG